AAAAAAAAAAAAACCATTTTTTTATTATAAAATTAAAAATAAAATTCATAGAACAGCCTCATAGTACCCCTGAGCTCTGCAGTGAAACACCACTGAAACATTGAGAAAGACTCTTGTGGAGTCTGACTCAAAACTTTTCAGATGAATCAGCGATGATACAATCTGAGGAACAGGACGACCTAAAGTCTCCTGAGTTTATTTTTCATCTGCCATCTCCATCTCCTGACACCCAAAAGGTTTACCTTTGCTCTCAGAATACAGTGCATGAACTCAGTCCTGGCCTTTTCTTGGAACAGATCTTATCAACATGCACAGTATTTGTTCCGCCTCCAGCAACGGAGCACTGAAGAATAATGTTAACAATCAGACGACCTGAGCCAGGTCAGATAACAGTCAAAACATTTGGCTTCTCTGTGTTCCACGTTATTCTAGAAAAGGACCAAATGTCACTTCAATCCGGTCAGCTGCTCGGAAAGCTGTCGGGTCAGGTCTGCTTCAGCCTGTTCATGCTCCGTCTGCACAGCTGTTTCTGACAGGATCCCCGTAATGCTGAGCTCATTATGTTTAATTGTGTTGGGTTTGAACAATGTGCAATCGCTTGTTTTGAAGTCTGGAATTTCAGGCTTCAGCTCGTTCTGTGTTTTGCCTTTCCTTCATTGAGAGAGGTGGAAAGTAAATGTGTATTTACTTAAGTGCTGTACTTACCGGTAAGTACAGTGTTCAGGTTCCTTTCTGTTTTTCCTCCACCGTACTTCAGAGGGAATTGTTGTACTTTTAAATCCACTATATTTGACTGGAGGCTGTAGTTGGTTTACTGTATCTGCACATTCAACTGTTACAGCCAACATGAGAGAAAATCCTAAAAAAAATTGTTTTGCTCCATAATAATTCCTATTGCCTCTTTCTTCTGGGCACTTTTTTCCTAATTTCTTTCCTTCCCAAGTTTCCAGACTTCTTTCTTTTCTTCCTTCCTTCTGGCGACTTTTTCGTTGTTCCTTCTCTTCTTTCTTTTTTTGATTTCCTTCTTTCTTTCTTTGCTTCCTTTCTTCTTCTTCCTGACCTCTTCACTTCTAATTTCTTTCTTTCCCCTGTCTTTCTTGATTAATTTCTTTATTCTCCATTTCCTGTGACTCCTTATTAATATCCTTTACTCCCTCATTTTGTCCTATCTTTCCTATTTTTGTTTCCCCCCCTACCTTCCTTATCTGATCTGTAAACAACACATTTCACCCACCAATGAAAACTTCTTTCATTCCTATATTCCTTTAGTTCTTTGCCTCCTCCTTTTATCATTCGTGTCCTTCTTTACTTCCCAAGATTTCTTTCTTTTCTCCCATCCTTCTGGCAACTTTTTTCCTGATTCTTTTCCTCTATTCTTTCTCCTCTTTTTTGATGTAATTCCTTCTTTCTTTTTTGCTTCTTTTCCTACCTTCTGACTCCTCATATCTTTCCTTCCTGTGTTTCTTAAACCATTTCTTAATCCTCCCTTTACCACATATTTTCCCTACCTCCTTATCTGATCTGTAAACACACAAAACTTCTCACCCACCAATAAAACCTTAACTCAATTAATACTTATACTTCAGATTATCCCACTGCTAATACTTATTCTACTTTTACTTTAAGTTTTTACATGTAATAGAGTATTTTTGTGTTGTGGTGCACCTTGGAGGGGCTTCCTGTTTATTGATAAACCAACCCGCCAGCGTGGCACTGAGTGGAATGACAACCACGTGAGGCACAAAAAGTGACGCACACGGTGCCTGCATGAGGTGCCAGCAGTGTGTGAAGAGGCTAAAGACGCTGGCAGAGAGCACCTGTCAAACTTCATATCAAGTCACCCGTTTTTCCAGCTTCAGTCTGCCTTCCTTTAACCCGACAAGCAGGCAGAAGACGCCTCACTGTGTCATGTGTCCCATAAATGTCTCACTGATCTGATCTCAGAGTCCACACAGTACCGGCCTAATAGTGTGGTGGTGATATCCCAAAAGTGACAAAGTGTGTTGTAGGTTCTCCTCTGACGCAAGAAAACCATTTAGTTGTAGTGTCTGGTGTCACGGGGGCGCATAGCAACGCAAATGCTGCCTATAAATATACTTCCACGTCCAGGCTATTTTAAACCTAACAGGGTCATACAAGAGAGTTCAACTTCCTTTTACCACGGGGAATTTATATCCTGAAATGTTTAATTATCTGGAGAACGCAGCAGAGAAATGAGCTGATGACTGTTTAGATGATACAGTATAAACTTGCAGTCAGCATATTATAAGGAGATGCAAATCAAAAAGCAGCTAAAACAAACTCCAGACTGGAAAAATAAACAGACTGAAAATAGATGGTTAAAGGGTCAGTTGTTTCCTCGCTTAGGGCTAGCGGTGTCTAGCCATGCAGATACAATCGGAATTTGAGGGTAAAGGTTGATTTCAATTCGACAAAAAAAATCTTACTGCAGACTTCACTTAGTTGGTCTCTCTGGAGCTGTCAGCCACATATCATGGCCTTCATCAGTAGTTATAAGACCTGTTATCACGTGAACCAAACACTCAAGTTAAAGGATAACAACGAAACCATCTCTATCTACCGATGAAGGCCACAACATGTCAACAACTTTTATTAATGTATTATTAATTTCAGATTTGCTTCCACCCCCAATACAATAGAGGCAAATTGGGGCTCACAGCGTTCATCAATTACATTTAAAAAGTTCAACGTCATCGTAGATTTCACAGGTCCATTTCTCTGGTAGAAAGTAGCTCTAAAGACATACTCTATAAACATCTGAATGTGAATGGAGAATCTGGAAGCAAGGGACAAGATTTTGGTACTGGAATCGTTATGGTTTCCGTTTGTAGTCCCGTTTTTAGTCCTAGTAGTATTGACCAATCGCATTGGAGTGGGCTTTTGGGTTTAGGGTGTGGTCACATGGGCGCAAACTGGCATCGCTTCTTTGCGTGGAGTTCAACTCTGGTGAACTTCAAGCGGTGAAGTCGCAGCCTCAACCATTAGCAAAGAAGAACCATGTGCATTTGCACCAATCACCGTTGAGTGGGCATGCAGGTAACGTCGATGTGGGGAGGAAAAGAGGCAGAACTCATTGGCCGAAATGCAATCTTGGAACCTATCGGCTATCGTCTGAATTTTTATTAGCTTTTAAAAAGAATCTGCATTCATATTCAGATTTCTGTTTATAGAGTTGATCTAAATTGTGTCTTTCTCGTCATTCTCGTGTCCCAAGATGCTAATCAGACTCTAACGATGACGGGCGTGTGGAAGAGGAGGTTGCTCCCAGAAGCTACACTGACGAAAGGTTCTGAGATAGCGCCAAAGAAAACTGTCCACTGCAATTCCAGGATCAGACTTGATCAGGTCTGGGACACGACAAAAAGATTAGTGTGTCTGAATCTTTTTGCCTTCTCTGACCTAGTTTGAAAATCTTTATAACTGGTTCTGTGATGTTGACCAATAGGGACAGTCTTTGGTGTATAACTCCAAACCTGGCTATGCAATAGAGGAATGATGTTGATGATGATCACCAAAATGTGGATGATGTTCAGTTTGATTATATTAAATGATAAACATAAGACAGTGTGTATATTTGTGTGTGAAGACTCAGGGCACACCCATGTACGTCAGGAGAGTAAGAAACATTTCCTTCAATTCAGTACTGAAAGCAAAGAGATGAATGTTATTATAATAACTCATCACTTGTCCAACCCATAAACCGTCTCTAAGAAATACAAACACTGACGTCAACTCATCAAGAGTCCGATTTCCTATAAACATTAAAAGCCTGAGCCATTCATAATCAGTGTCAGTGTTTATTAGGGGCTAATAAAGGTTTGAGTGCAGACATACCAGTGGTCACTTAAAAATGGTGTCGTCATTACATAGTTTGTCCACCTGAGAGCAGGGACACGTTTATTTTTAAACTGTAAAATGTTCCGTTCAGTTTAGACACAATTCAAGAACATTGAAGTAAAACTAACTTAATTTTTTATAAGTTAAAAAGACTTCAGTAATTTTAGGTAACACTGACTTCATTTTGTAATTGTTATTTGTACTGTGAAAACTAAATACCTAGCAGCTAGAATGTTTTACCGATGCTTAGCAGGATATTAGCAAGAAAGTGATTTCACTAAAGAATATAGTGGCGAGAACAACACATCTGAAAACAGGAGATGAGGAGTTCAAATCAGAAGAGTTTGTGATATTTAAGCAACATTAATGCACTCGCTGCAACACTGCAATTTCTCTCTTTATGCCAAACTTCATTCAGAAATTGGTTGTTTTATCACAAACACACTTAAAAGACTGTCTGATCATGTTGGCATACAGGAGAGCTTGTAATAAGTGTTGAATTGTTTGGAAAAGGGCAGGCACTTTCAAAAACTACTTGGTAGGTGACTGGATGAACAATCTGTCTATCACCGTCTATCAAGTGAACTGAAGCCAGCTGGAAAAGAGCGACAGCCTTCATCTACAGTTCTGATATAACTGATGCTAGCAGCATTTACACTAACCTCTATGGGAGCAGCTTTTCTCGCTACGTCCCACCCAGCGCCCACACCCCTGCCAGTACTTCCTCAAAGGACACTGATTGGTCACACAAACCCATAGATTGATGCCTGGCAAGATTGATTCTACGTGTGATTTTGTGATCTTGCGAGTCCAGCTTCCTCGCAAGATACCGACCAAGGTCCCATTCCAGATTGTAGGGAGGGTTGAATCGGAGATAGATCAGCTCCTGTAGTCTGGACCCGGCTTTAGTGAGCTTTAGAGGTGATTTACTTTTGAAGTTTCGACACAGCTACGCTAGCTGCTTCCACATGTTTCCAGGATTTATGCTAAGCTAGGCTAACCTTGTCCTGACTCCAGCTCCACACACAGACACAAGAGTAGTACTGATCTACTCACCTCACTCTCACGAAGAAATCCAATCAGGCGTATTTCACCAAATGCAACTCTTGAATATATCTGCCCCAACAATCTGAAACTCACTCTTCCCGTGTATCAATGAGTTTATTGAACCTCATAACGTCCTGGTAACAGTTAATACATGCAAATGATTACATCAAAACAACAACATATGCTACAATAATATCCTTTTATAGTATGGAAGTACACTGGACAGTAAGTGATCATCACCCAACAAAACCCGACATAGGCAAAACTACTCAGAGTTGTGGACGTGTCACTCATTTCATTTGTTAATAGATGTCTTGTAATACGGAATATGATGATTATGAAGGATCAAAGTGCTTTAAGAGAATATATATTTACGGTTAAATATTCTCTCTATGTATAATATCATGTGCCCTCTAATCTGAACGACGTATATCGGCAGATTTTAAACACAATCCTCATATCAAGTACCATACTTCCATAACAGGCCATTCACAATCCTTCCCTGTGAGATGAACACTTTATTAAACAGATACGTCCAAGTTGAAGCATAGTAAATGAGGCATGAATCATTGTCCTGGATTTTCCAGTTTCCTTCTCCTTCCCTGGGCATTTTCAAACCACAATCCCTCCCATCACAATCAAAGCCGCCGCATCCAACATCGGATTAATGGGAGACTTCCTCTACATCGCTTCGCACAGTGGTAATTCATCTTAATTGTGATACATTCCTTTTGGCTGCGTTCCCGGCTCACCAGATGCTCAACGTCTGTTTGACAAATAAATCCCTTACAATGTCTTCAAAGCTTTAAGTTCTGGGCCTTGAGAGTCTGCGGTCAAAGCTTTTATAGGTCGGAAATCCAAAGCATGCTGGACAACATCTGTCCACAGCTGGTTCTCCAACTCAATCTCAAAATCAGGCCTTTTCCCAACTCACAGAACCAGGACACTTGTCGTCCAAACTGCTAGTTCAAGTAAAAATACTCCTCTGGTTCGCGACCAGGGCGGTTTGGCTCTCCCGTCGCCTCTCCTTCTTCCTCTCCAGTCTCATCTTCCAGCAGACGACGCTGGACGCTAAGAGCACCAGCCCGGCCGAGAGGAGCACCAGGCCGAAGTAAGAGATGGTGGATCCGTGCGAGTTGAAGCTGTAGGCCACGGCGGTGACCACGATGCCAGCGATGAGGACCACCACGCCAAACGGGACGGTGCAACGGTAGCAGGACAGCTCTGCCCCGCCGGTGGCTGCCGCGAGCTGGACTTCATTGACCAGGGGGATGTTGACCGTCGTCGCAGGGGCTGCGGGACACTCGTTGTTGTTGGCCTTCTCTGGGGTCACTGGCGTTCTCATGGCGTCCTTATTAGCTTCTTCTGGCATTGCAGGATCAAGGAGCCTTCTGTTAACCAACCACAGATGGTCCCTCGCCGTTGCCCTTTTACCTCTTTTCCTTGCTAGGGTCTCCCAGTCTGTGCGGAGAAAGAAACCACTCATTAAAGCAGTGAAAATGCAAACTGGTTGCACAACTTTGGACACAGTTTTCCAGAAGAGACCTCCCAGATGTTTTTTCTCAAAATTCAACAAAGCATTTCACAATTCAGCACCACTTTCCTTGAGCGCCACCCGCTGCTTTGAAGTAACCTCTTTTTCACAATCGCAGCCGCCTCCTGACCCAGTCAGAGTTGTCTGAATGACGCAGGACCACTCAGCCCAGCACGAGCTGAGACATTCCCTGGAGAGCGCAGGATATGACATTACAAACTGCTCCGTGAAATGCGAGGAGCTTCGAAATCACCAGCAATTTCACAAGCACTCATTCTCACCCCCCCTCACTCACGTCTGCTGGGTGGAAAGCTGTGATTTAGACTCTGAGTGACAATACATGGGCCGGACAGCGACAGTTATACCTTCCATCACTGTCAGGGGTTTAAAACACTTGCTATTAAATCTTTAACGTTTAGAGAATAGTAGTAACTGTGGAAGGTGGTTTAGACAGACTCTAGACCAGTGGTTCCCAATCTGGGGGTCAGGCCCCGTCATGGGGTCAGAGCCATAGCTACTGAGGGTATCCTCTGTGTTTTGGGGAAAGTTTGGGGGAGTTTAAGCAGCCTGGGTGGAGTATACACTTTGGAATCAGTCAATTAAATCACCACCATGTGTCATTTTTTCAGCTTTCCCACCAGGATTTTACTATAATAATACTAATAAGACGAATAGGTAACCAGTTTATTAAGTAATTTTAAGCAAAAATGCCAAACATTTGCTGTAACAGCTCATCAAAAGTGAGTGTTTGATGCTTATAGGATTATAAACTTGAATCTCTTTGAGTTTTGGACTGTTGGTTGAATAAAAGAAGGCATTTGAAAGCATCTTCTTTTGCTGTGAGAAACCAACATAAAAACATTTTTCACCATTTTCTCACATAACGATCGATTGAGAATATAATAAATAAATGATGGTAATAACAGTTTGGACCTCTGTTTCAGAAAATAATGGTTGCATTATGTTTACCAAGTAAGTATTTCTGCTGCATGAAATAATGTTTAGGCTATTTAATCTGGCATTTCTCAAATCTTTGCTCTTTTCTTATTCAGTAGACTCAACAACTGTTCTAGAGGACAGGCGCAAATTTGAAACAGGTTTGTAATCCCTATGACTCCCTTCAGAGAAAATCTTTGTTCTCTTTGTTTTTAAGTTACAGTTGGCAGAGAAAACCTATTACAGAAGTCACTTTTATTCACACTTTAGTGACTTCCTCTTAATAGCAGCGTAACACAGCAGCAAAAGCCCTCACTTGGAAATCAAGTGGAATTTGTGTCTGTGAACATTTAAAGAAAAAGAGGCATTCAAGGTCCAAGATGTGAAACAGATACAGAAGGAAACTGTCTGAAGCTCTAACAGTCCACATTACAACCAATGATGTTTCTTTTCCTTGCTCTTTCTGACAGGTGTGCTGCATTCAGTGTTTGTCCAGGCTGCTGTCACTGTCACTGTCCATCAGGCACTAACAGTATGATTGTGAAAATCCTTTTAAAATATCATTAAACGAATGTGCACCAGCAACCATGTAACCTGTCTCTGTGGTCCCCTAACAGAATGAATTAAACCCACACTTGTTATGTGCAGAGAGGTGAATGTCCCCGACAGAAGCAGACAGACAGACAGACAGACAGACAGAGGAGAGGTCCGTTACCTCACAGCCGTTGTCCATGTCGCTCCTCCGCACTGGGACCGGACTCATGAAACATTTATTCGGATTCATGTGGTTCAAAGTGAGCTGCTGTTTTCTTCCGAGCTGAGCCAAACAACAAGCAGGAATCTGACTCCCATTCATCCCCCCCTCCCCTCTGTGAGGCGCTCAGGTTGGAGCTGCTGGCCGGACTGCTGCCATCCTCATTCAGAACAACTATTTCAAGTATCGCTGACGGGGGGGGGGTGAAGTTGAAATCAATAGGGAAAGGCGTAATTTCCGGTCAGTTTCAAAGTAAATCTCCCTTTGCTGCCAGCATTTGTTGCGTGTACTTTCAGTTCCTTGGATGCATTTATTTTGTAATATATCAGTCTATTTCCGGTTTCATGGCCTGACACTGGAGCCGGTGGGAGGGTAGGAACTCTGCACACTATAGAAATCAGCTCACAGTTTCATATTAGACAGATTAGAGATGAATTTATTGCATTTTTTGGGGTATTTTTCGTCTGTTATTGTGGTTTAATTTTACTTGCCTCAGTGCACCTCAGTTGATGTCTATCTGAATTCAACTTTTAGCTATCTGACTATAGTGAGAGACCACAAACTCCCACTGGACGTACCCAGAATGGTGACAAAGACTCACAGACAGTTTATCTCCATGTGCAAGATTTATTTGCATCACACTGGATACAAGCAAACCGAGCTGTCCCAAAGAATGTGGCCCCCCCCCTCCCCCCAAGGATGTCTGTTGGCGACGACTAATGTCTGACAAACAATAGTTATAACACATCTGAAGCCCAACGCTCCCCCAGACAGCCTTGGTCTTTGGTATGTACTTAACTCATAGCACAATGAATAACAACTCTCCTAACATGAGTGAGACGTAAAAATAAACATGGAGCAACACAACATAATACAGTTTGCTTCATGTTCACAGAACCCTGAATGCATTTTCCCATTACACTGTATTTCTTAGTGACCATATTTCTTGTTTGAGTGCATCATATCCAGCTTCTGTTACTGATACTAATGCTCTTCAATTGTTCCGTATACTGTACTAAAGTCAGTTATCATTGGAATAATACTATTTATAAGTGATGAATGTGTAGGAATATGTATAATCTGCAGAGTAACTACTCATTATATCACAAATAAGGTAAGGTGTTTCTTTATTGATCCCCAGAGGAAACTCAAATTGGCCCAGCAGTACAGGGGAGTGTAGTGCAAAGAGTAAATAAATAGAACAAAATACTATGTAAATAAATTATATACATTATATATTGTAATAAAATAGAGAAATATAAATGTAGAAGAGTAAAAGCACAATATTTCCCCCTGAAATGTAGTTGAAGAATAAAGTAGCATAAAATTTAAAGACTCAAGTAAAGTTAAGTAACTCAAAACCAGTGTTGTAGTAGAGGGTATAAGCGGTATATTTTTTTCCTAGGATGGCAAAGGCATGGCATAGTTAAGCCACTTTTACTAGTAATTTTAAGTGACTTTAATTTAGTTTTGTAAGTTACAGAAACATTCCTAATCAATAACTTTTTACTAGGTATTTTGGTTTCACGGTACAAATAAAAAATTACAAAATTAAGTAATTCTCACTTAAAATGACCAAAGATACCTGATCAAGAATGTTATTTTTAACTTACAAAATTTAGTTTATCTTACTTAAAAAAATGAATGTAATCAGTTTCACTTTTTTTTTTTTTTTTGTTAAATTAACTTATATAGTTTTATAATTAATTGTTGACTGCTCAGAACTGCACAGTAATAATGCCCAAGGACTAAATGCACTTCTTCTTGTACTAGCACTACTACAGTGTCTACTTCTACTGTTTTATTGTGAAGGTGTGACCGGAAGCCGCGCTGGGTGACAGCTGAGGTGAGAGAGAGGAGCCGTCATGTCGCTGCAGTTCACAGATGAGGAGTTTCAGGGAGCCTGGGGGGAGCTGGACGAGCCGCAGCTGGAGGGAGGATGGGAGCTCTTCACGGAGACGATGGGAGTGAAGATCTACCGGCTGTATGACAAGGTACCGAGAACGAATCAAAGTGCTGCTTTACGACCGGAAGCTGCAGCTAAGGACTGATGTGTGTGTGTGTGTGTGTGTGTGTGTGTGTGTGTGTCGGTTTCCCCTGCAGACCCGGTAGCGTCGGTTTCATCACCGATTTTATTTTCCTTACAAAATGATGTGAGATGTTTATCTTTTATGTGACTTATATTGACCAGGTTGAGAAATATCCGGAAACTGAACGAGACCTGGTTGACTCAGAAACCGGCTTTACCGGTCGTACCAAACTCCATTCATAAATCTGTCATTTTAAGGTCGCCTCGCCTATGGGCACATAAGCATAGCTCGTAGGACCTGGTTGCACACATGTATGAATTCAGAAGGATCCACTCTTCAGCTCGGCACGCAGCTCACGCATCAAGACAGTAGCTTTTAATTCATTTTGACCGAAAGGGGATCAAAAAGTAAATAAATAAATAAAGTTCATGCATGCATGAACAAAACTGTCATCGAACTGAAATGACTACTGCAAACACGTTATATGAATTATCAGACAGCTATGGGCACCTGTGTATCTTTGCAATGTGCTGTATTTTATGAAAAGAAAGTTCCTAAATGCATGCCATTCATGGTTTTTGCCTTAATTTGAAGGGCCAGGATACTTTATAGCCTATTTAATAGTTATTAACTACATTTTACCCACATTTTATAACTAATTACTGGATAAAACTAATAAAGACAAGACAAAACCTATTTTGTACCATAAATATCAGTGTACACATGTAAATCCTAGTAAAAAAAAGGACAAAGTCAAGTTTAAACCATTTTATTCTTCAAGCGGCCATTGTTATTTGTAGTTCATTGGAACTTATACAAGAGACAAGATTGTTGGCAACAATACAGGGATAAGTCATTTTCTTACTTTGGTTGGATTCTGCACACACAAACGTAGGAATGATGTGATGGGACACTGCCTGCTTCCCTTTAAACCCCTAATAATGCACAATGCTACTATCAAGAAGGTAGTATTTTAAGGGTATCTAACATTTATTTAAGTTTGAGGCCTTATATGCTGTCAACTGCCAAGGGAAAAGAAAGAAACCTTAAATTGACGTTTTTGTGAATGGAGTTTGGTTTGACTTACAAGTGGCCGAAAGCATGCCTACGTGACTTACACTAAACCAGCGTAGACGTTCAGTTTGTCATTGTTTATTGTGTTTAAGTGTGAGAGAGAGAAAGCATCCTCTGACCCGTTTTCTGCACGTTTGACTCAAACCCAGCACGCTTCCTCACTCGCAGTGAGAAAGGGTGGAAACGCAGACTGGCTCTAATCAGAGTCGTGTGCTTTCGGGGATTACTTGCATACTGTGGGTGTGGCATGCAGCCTGCATTTGGAAGAGAGAGAACTTTCATGTGCTGTTTTCAGGAAACTGGACTTTATGAGTACAAAGTCTTTGGTGTGCTCACCACCTGCACTGCAGAGCTGTGTGCAGATGTCTACATGGACTTGAAGTATCGGAAAGATTGGGATAACTATGCAAAAGGTAAAAAAAAAAAAAAAAAAAGAAAGGATAACAGGATCCTTTGCCATCCAAACCAACTTTCCCTTCATATTCTCTGTAGTGAGTTGCTAATCATCATGGATCAATTACACATGTGTAGCCTTCTGTCGTCATTGTCTGTTCAGTGTGTCTTTTAATGCTCTGCATAGAAAGGCATTGTTTTATACACTGAAGTAACCTTTTTAAATGTTTTGTCCTCGTCTTCATGCACCTCTACAGTAACCTGCAGGTAACATGTTGTTGCCGTAGTCACATACAGTATGTAGCTCCCTACTCTGTCAAAAAACAAATCCACACCTATCAGGTGATTTTAGTAGTAATGTTAGCTGAAGTAGCTTTTTTTCCTCCAAAATATGTTTTTTGGGATAGTCGTGTTGTCTGTGGTGGTAGTAGAGTATTATTGTATTCACTATAGTCCCCCCCCCCAAAGACAAAGTGGAGTTTAGACTTTACAGTGACGAGTACTGCTGACATATTTGACCAACACAAACTACTATTTACATAAAGATTAGTTGTTACTATCTAAATATTTACATACTAATGCTCATATGCTTAAATTAACTCAGTACATAAGTTACTAAAGTCAACCACACTTCATATTATTGGAATAATATTACTTATTACTGATTAATTAATATGTAGGAATATGATCTAATTTATAATGTTACATAACATTAAAGTTTTACTTCTGGGTGTAACTGTTTTTGTTATTTCGTGCCACTGGTCAGCGGGTGTCACTGATTGTTACCATGGAAACACGTCTCTTAAGAAGAGAGAAGGGAAGAGACTTTTTTTAATAAATAAGCCGGTTTGTGGAAGTTTTGTGCTAAATTTGTTCATTAGCGTAATCTAAAGGCATGTACTGTACAGTTTGTCACACAGGTTTGATGTGGATCAGGAGAAACTGTACTGTACTGAACAACTTGAGCCTACAATTTTTCTTTCAATTAAATTGGTTGTAGGCAGTATTTCAGGTGTTTGCCTCAAACTTTATCCGAGAAAATCTCAGTTTCCTTACCATTTCCTTTCCTTTCCTTTCCTTTCCTTTCCTTTCCATAGAAACCATTAAAATCCTGTTTAAATGTTTAATTTACATCCAGTTACCTACAGCTGATGTTTTTATTTAATGTTTGTCATTTTTTTTTTTTTATTCAGAGCTCTATGAGAAGGACTTCAATGGACAGACCGCAATCTACTGGGAAGTAAAATACCCATTTCCTTTGTCAAACAGGGACGTATCCTTCTGGTCCACATACATCCAGTGCACAGACAACTCATGGACAAACTAATTGAGTATTGTTTATAGAGACTATAATGGAGAGCATGTTTCAGATTGTCTTCCCTAACAGCTCCAACCTCAGTATGTGTACATGAGGGAGCGGAGAGACCTGGATGTGGACGGCAGGAAGATCTGGGTGATCCTGGCCAGGAGTTCCCCAGATACACCGTGTGCAGAGAAGAGTGGCGTGCTGCGGGTCAAAGACTACAAGCAGAGCGTCGCCCTGGAGAGCGATGGAGCCGGTGGAACTAAAGGTAACGCGTGACGGGAGTGAATATCAAATGGTTAGCTTTATGTTGTGATGTTGACTTGAATATTTTTTCCAATATTGCTATAAATATACGCAATAACACATAAATAATCAAGAAGGTTATATATGAAACTCACTTGCAACTAGATGATGCACTAGAGCACCAGCATCTCAGACAAAAGAATGGACTCCATTAACAAAACCAGTCATTTTACCTCGCAGATAACCATAAAAACACATTTCCAACAATCACCAACTCTGGTTTGGTCAATCTTAAATTCACAGAGTTCGATGAGAAATTGCTACAATGGCTGCTATGTAACGTCAGCTAATCCATGGGGACAAATGCACCTGTCATATTACGTCCACTAAAAGTTATTTTCAATCAGACAATGTCTGACAACATCTCAGAAAGCATTCCCACCAGACTCCATTGACAAAAGCAGACCGGCTCTGTCAACAAACCACAGAGAGGCTGCGATACAACACAGGCAGAGGGAGTGAGACACCCTGACTCCAATATATCTTTACATAGAGAATACTTGTTATCTGATACATTGATGTTTTAAATCTCATATATAACATTTAATCAGAGATAGAGATTTTCATTGAAATTGGCTTGAAATCGGTAGCAAATAATAAATGTTGCATTTTACACAATTTAACATTTCTTAGATAAAAAAAAAAAAAAAATCATTGATTAATCAACAACAAAACATCAAGAATGAACATGTGCTTGGTTTCAGTTTTCATGAACTACTTCGACAACCCCGGTGGCATGATCCCTACCTGGCTGGTGAACTGGGCAGCTAAGGTGAGTGTTTTACTTAAAGCTCCATTTTACTGCAACAAAAAAACATCACAGCTTTACATAAAACCTCTTTAAACCTGAATAACCCATTAAGTAGCTTAAGGGGCCTCGCTGAACAGTTATAGATGGTAACTGAATTTCCACAGTGGGATTAATAAAGCATAACTTCAGTTTTGACTGTGTTTTGGAGGTAAAATAACAATATAGTGAGCAGCAAATCCCCCTTGTAACTTATGCTTAATTTACAGTAGAAAGTAATGGTTTTAGTTCATGTAAACCAGATTGGTCTGGAGATATTTCCCAACAAAGACGGGGATTTGTGCGATTTGAATGGCTGCCTATGGGGATTATGCTTGCTCAGCTGCACAAGGAAAATAAAAAAGCCACAGTGACAGATCTTTTTTCCTCTTTCTTTAACAAAATGGTGCATCGCAACCAACCTCTTACAGCTCCATTCTGAATCCTCCTGCTCTCCATCAGTACCTTGACTCTGTTGTTAGCCAAAATCAGAGTTTAGTTGTTCTCAGTTACATGATTTCCTGTTTCTCTTGTCAGACAACTGAAAGAGCAGAGATTCTCTGTCCACATTGAAATGTAAGGATGGTATTTTTAGATTTATCTACTCTGGGGAACAATTACGAAAACGCCTGACAGACAGGTGGCCATGAAAGGTGCTTTCAATTTAGTTGACTTAATGTGGATGTGCACATTTAAGCAAGGACGTGCACAGATATCTTGAGGGGCAGTTGCTTTAACCTGAAAAAATAATGCTGTCTACATAGCTACCCATGAATGTGACAAGCTTTTTATGTCTCTCGACCGCCTCATCTCAAAAAGTACTTAAAGTTGCAGATTTATGCAGATTTAACTTCAGCAGTGTTGGGCTGTTTGTATTTGCAGCCCCAACTGTTCAGCCAAAGACGACAAATGGGCTGCTGCTCGCGCAACTTTAGCTCGGCCTTGTGCACGTCCTTGTCGAAGAGTATCTGTTCCAAAAGATAAACAGCACTTAATGGTTCTGTTGTTGTTCAGGGTTAGAGGACAACCTTGTTAAAAGAAAGAAAAGCCTTTAAATAGCACAAAGCCTAAAGTGACAGAGAAACATTTGTTCCAAATATTCGGACGGTATTAAGTATGCAGACTTAAATGAGCTAAAAGGAATATTCAAACTATCGCTGACATGTGGAAGTCGTGAGGACATGTTTGCTGTCGACCTACTCAGACAGGTCTCTGATGAGGTCTTTTAAAGAGGGTGTTAAAAGGGTTCACTCACAGGCCTCGGAGAGCTCCATCCCTCCGCCTGCTCGCTGGTTTTCTGTCCTTATTGTTAGCAGATGTGCTGCGGGGGTGATGTCAACAGCTGCTCTCCTCGTTGCCCCTCCTGGGTGGGTCCCTCTTGAACACGTGTTTGTGACGCTCACTGACAGACGCTTTTCTTCGTGTGTTTGTTTCTCGTGCAGAGCGGGGTTCCAGGTTTCTTAACCGACATGCAGAAGGCCTGCAGCAATTACAGCAACTACTGCCAGAAGAAATGAACGCAGCTGGCGGGACAACGGCTCACGCACGAGGGCTCACTTTTACTTTTCCTGTTTTGTTTTTGGGAGTTTTTTTAATGTACAATCAAATTTGTCTTTTCCGTTGTTGGGTGAATGTGGCATGGCTACTTGTCGCTGTAGCATGCTGTTGACTCAGGCATGACGTGCATGACTTGCCACCCTCATTAACGGGCTGGCGTGAAATCAATTCTGTTCCATTGTGCTGTATTAACGAATACTGTATTGTCTTTTCTGTGCAGTCACTGTAAGCTCCAGTCCCTCCAGGGTGTGGTTCATAGAAAATCCTCCGTTTTGTACGGTAGTGTCACTTTGGGCCCTGTGTGGTTAAAATTGCAGCTTCTTGCATAAGATTTCATCTCTTGTTTGTTTAACGTCACATTTCCTATGTGACAGATGCAATATAAATTGATTTATTGTATGTTTAGTCACACTCCAATCCTCTACTGTCGTCCTCTCATGTGTTATAATGGAGCAAAAATGACAAATCTGTACTTTTAGAGGAATGCTGTCTGTTGGGTTTCTTGTCCTTTCTTTTCATGGGGTCATTATGTATGCAAAGATTTATTATGGGTGTGTGATGGTCAAAGACACATACAGTATCTGAGGTCATACTGTATTGATTTAGGCTGTACCTCAGTACCTCAGAGCTCCTGTTGATGCAGGTGAATGTGGTTTTATCTGATCATTTAAAGCCTATTACTGTGTAATACTGCTGTGTTATTGAAATGAATAAACTTTTAATTGAAATTTAAGGACCGTCTTTTGCATTTTCTACACCCACATCTGTCACTTACAAGTACAATGATCATCTTAAAAAGGGCTACCATGGTAACCACTGCAAACACTAATCACTGCTAAGCAATGCACTGACATTGATACAGTCTAGGTACACCTATAAACTAATACAGTGTAATACAACAGCAATGCTCCATCATGAAGGTTATAATGTTCAGTTTTTGTTGAAAGTATTTTAGAGAGGCCACACCTTCCCTGATGTACCAAAATAATTACACATTTTAACTTTAACTTCAAAATACCTTTAGTATAACTGCTGAGGCACCTCTTAAAACAGACACTGAATGTTCAACATGAATGATTTTTAAACACATTGTAAATATCTGAAAACTCCAGACTTATTAATAGGTGAATTCCCGCACAGGCACATTTAAAGACAGCCCCCTTTGCTTGCATGGGGTCCTTACAGTCACAATGAATCCCACTGCTTTTCTTGCCAAGACACCTATCCTGGCCAGCAGGAGGCGCTGCTGCAGGTGAGAACTAAAGGTAGTCTCAGTCTGTTCTATTCAGTCACATGTTCGTAGACTATAGATAGAGTATTATATGTGTTAGGTATGATTCATTTATAGAGTCAGATATTAGCTGTTAAAACTCAATGGCCACAAACGAACGGTCTATGAGGAAATACAGTTTGGTCAAGTCTAATGCAGGCTAGCATTAAAAGCAGCAGCACTTTCTGTCAGTGTGGTAACCTCAAGATGACAGACAGATGTGTAAAACTGGTCCAGCTGGACTAAAATACCTCGCTAACGGGGCCATTTATACAGTTTGTTTTTAATGAGTTACTTGCTACATTTAGTTAAGATAATATAACATTTGAGATTGAACAGGAACATTATTCTGACATACATTTCCTTTAAATTGAATCAAGTGGTGGCTCTGTATTAATCACACAAACAGAAATATCTGTGGCGTAAGTTAACAACCTCAACTATTCCCAATGATTTCACTCTAAAGAGTGATATTTAAACAATAGTCAGTTAAACACTGGGATTAGTCATACATAGACCTAAACAACGGTGTGTGTGACAGCAGTGCTTTCTCCTCCTGGTTATAAGAGCTCTGATTAGAGGCAGACTGAGTTCACCTGCGTCTCCAGACAGCACAGGTGTGCCCCGTTGCTCCTCCCAGAGCTCAACGGGGTAAAGCTGACAGGGAAGAGCTTCAGCAGCAAGGGTTAGACACTAACATGAATACAGTGTGAACAGTATCAGATGGATGTAATAAACAGATATACAGTGCAGGTATTAGTAATGGGACAGTGGAGCCAGTGACGCAGAGGCAGTACTATCAGAGAGAGTCCTACAGAGTCACAGAGCTCAATATCAACATTTTATTTCTGGAAGAGGCCTGACGAGCTTTAACAGAACCCACAAGGTAACAACACTGAACACTGTTTCCAAGGTATACGACATTTAAGGTCAGTTCGTATAATCAGTATTTCAGCTGCTTAATGATACAATTTTTAATCAGTTCCCCCAATGTGCAACCCAAACAAACAGTGTACATGGCACACAGTGTGTCCTTACTTAACACACAATGAATATTTTATCACAAGTTATAGCATCTCTGTTAATTCTTCACTTATTTTATATGTTTTTTGCATTTTAATGAGTTGGGGTCAGGAAATCTCACAATTCAACTATTATTTTGTCAAGTATGTATGTTTTTGGATGGCCGTGATGATTGGAGCCTCCACCGGAATGAAGGCATCAGCCAAAAACATTAATGCTTGTTGTTTTTCTGCATTACAAAATAAGAAATATAAAGTGAATATCAAGAGTTTATCTTCAGATGGGGATGTATTGATCTGCTAAAAGTCACAAACATCACTTTCCCAAGGTGACATCTTCTAATTGCTTGTTTTGTTGGACCAACAGTCCAGAATCCAAAGATAATCAATATATAAGCATATAAAATGGAGAAAAATCCTCACATTTGTGTCTAAATAATAAACACGTGGGTGAAAATGTATTTTCAGCAATGTTAATGATCAATTCAGAGATTATACTTTTAGAATTGGATGAGAATGGAAACCTAAAATCGAGTCAAGTTCAGTGCGATTAAGTATTGATCGATCACAACATGTCCATCAGATTTTAAATTAAAGACATATAGTACAAACCCACATCTTTCTGCCTCGGAGGAGTTCTCAGTGCAAACAATGAATTACAGGGTCATTTCCTTGTTGCCCCTATAATCCTCCTGATTACTCCTCCACCAGAGTTAAAAGTGGAACCAGGCCAGAGACCTTTATTCCCCCCCCCCACACACACACTGGGACACACCCTCCCACCACTGCCCTGTTTTTTTTTCTCTGCTGATCAAACTGAAGTGTTGGCCCAGATGTTTCCTGAAGGAAGACGCTGGTCGTTGTTTCCTATGAGCTCAGTCTGCTGGTGCTGTACTGATGGTTTTGGTGGGTTGGGGTTAATGTCTGTCTGCACTGATGGAGCGACTGCATCTTTTACTGTTCCAGATCAACATGTTGTGTTTAAAGGGAGATCGAGTGCTATCAAAGCCAACTTAAAGGACTAGTGTGTTTGATTTAGTGGCATCTAGCGGTGTAGTTGCAGATTGCAATAAACACAAACGACCCGATCTAAAGCCACTGTTTGACTTCCAGGGGCAGACTGTAGATAAAAAATAAAACCTCACAATGATTCTTATCTTAAGATGATTACACGCTAATGAAAACATACCTATGAATTGGAACAAAACTCCCCATGCACTGCCATAAACATATATCCTCCTCGATGTTGCACACTGGACCTTTTTTAAAGTTGTAGTTCAACATGTACAAAACCAATCCTCAACTTGTATCAAGCCTGCATTGATCACGTTAAGGATTTAGATTGCACAGACGATGAGGTGGGTGACTGATGATGATGATAATGATGAAGACTAGGCCAAGTATTTGTCTTTAACATGCAAACTCAACCTCACATTGGGAAAACGTCCTTATGACTTATGCTTTTTGGAATATAATATTTTACAGTATATACTATACTGTTGTATTCCACAAACTCAGGGTCCTAATGAGTCCTGGAATACCTGGGAAAACCTGGAGATTTAGAGACTAGTTTTCCAGACATGGAAACACTTGGAAATGTATTAAAATGACCAAATATCCTGGAAATAATCTATATTGTCCTGGGAAACTGTAATTGTATTTTAGCCCCTCACTATGGTAACCTGAAACCTTGACCACCATTGTGAGCAACTGTTGTCCTGGAATTGATTTCTTAAAGAGTGGGAACCCTGAAACAGCTTACACACATTTTACAAACAGCTTATTGGTTTACTAAAAGTACATTATTCATGTACAATTTGGATTTGTAGAAGGAGATAATTTGGGGTTATGTGTGTCAGTCAGGTGCAGAGTATGCCTCGTGCTTATGGATGCATTGTGAAGTTTGTCTCGATGAAAGTTCTTCCATTATATCTGCTCAGTGGCTTTAGATACACTATAAAGCTGAATGAGGATGCATTTGCACCAGAGTTTAAATCAGCTGGCAGCTCAGACAGAACTTTGATGTTTTTACGCCCTCTGCTGGTGGAAGTTGAACATTGACTGTCTGGCCCATACAGTACTGTAGTGAGAACAGTCAGCTGTACTCTGAAGGACTACATCAATCTCAAACTCTTCAGTGTGTCTAAATATCATCGATATTCCACATTTAATTTTCTGCTATAAACACTGCTTTAATGCAGCCCGGGGATATTTACATTTATCCTGTAGATAGATTATTTTGTCCAAACTGATGTACAAATGAGGTGTAGCACAAACTACAGTAGATCAGAACCTCAACACAACATGTTCTGTCTGACACAAGTGACACAAGTCTGCAGGTACATGATAGAGAGATAGACGATGGAGAAGAATTGAGAAATGATGTAAGGACTCTGCTATTGAAAAACATTTACCATTAACAAAGTCCATGCTATAATATTAGCAGGAAAAGGTATTACAATATATGAACAGGAAACTGAAGGAAACAACTGAACATTACATCATACAATTGGATACAACAAACATATGGGGGGGGAGACACACAATCTGTAGACAATTTACTAAAATAAAAAATGTCCATATATTAGACGTTATAAATGTTTTATTGTAATATAAAGACAGTGCTCAGACATACCTCTTTGCATTCAGTGATATTTGTTGTTGTTGTTGTTGTTATGAGAAACCTTCAAAATAAAGTGAAAATGACAAAGTATGATATTATTTGGCTAAGATATACAATTGTATTGCTGAGACTCTAACAGCATGTATCCTATTGGTAGATATTTTAGATCCTGTCGCATAGAGAACATTTAACTAAACAGACAATTTCGAAAGGGAAAATGTTGTCAGAAACTTTAGTTTTCATTTTAGAGAAGTCAGCGAGTGAATTATTAATGTAACAGAGGTTTTCTCTCCGGTAGCGATGTTATATGTTAACTGAGTGATTGGATCTGAAATGGTGAGCTCTAGTTTCAACAAAGCTCTCATCCGTTTGTTTGGGAATAACAGTGGTAGCAGTGACAAAAATCAGACGCTTAGATCCCTCTTTAATGCAACATTTTATCCCCTGGAATGTCTTGGGTGAATAATATTCAGTCCTGGAGTCTTTCCACTGCCAGTCTTTCACAAATGGAAGACAAATATATTTCTTGGCCGGCCGTTGTGTTTCAGAGTGAGGTTCTTTTGATTGGTAATATACAGGGCTAATTAGCTTAAGAAAGTGATATAGTTTTTCTGCTGGACTGCTGCTCCCCCTTAACGTCAGCTCAGATTTCCCAGGTGCCTCGCTGTCTGCCAGAGGTAACAAAATAATGGCTCTGCTTGGAAACCTATTTTTCAACGTGTTTTTTTTTTTTTTTGTGACTTTTTTTTTTTTTAATAGATTACTATTAGAGATATTGGTGGACTCCAGGGAATCCTTGACCCTGAATAGGCTTTTATGTGTTTTCTTCTTTTCGTACTCTCTGCTGTGCTAATCAGCTGCATTTTGGTGGAAGGCCCTCTGCTCCATTATGCATGCAGATTCACATGAAAGCTCAACGTGAGCCCATTTCATAGAGAGGGGAAAACTGAAGGTACCCATTTCACTGCTTGAATTTCTGGGTTGTTTTTTTTTCTCTGCCACAGAATGAAAGAAAATGCAGCTATTTCCTGTGAAGTTGGGACACTCCGATGGCTGACATTCCTGCATCCAAACCTCAAGTGTCACGGTGTAAGTACATCAGTTAACATCTCAAGTAGTGGGGCAAGTTTGTCATGAATACAGTATACATTTCTCTGTTGTTGATGGCTACCACGGGGCACATGCAAAGTGTTGTCTGACCACATCTGAAGGCACAAGTATTTATAGCTATTCAGAGGGGGGGGGGGGGACCAAGCCGGCAAATGGAAAATTAATCCTGGCCCAAAACTGCAGTTCCTCAAATGGCCACTTGAGGTTGGCTCCAAAAGCAAATCAATCTCCATAAGATCCTATTATTAAAACTGGTACAAAAACTGGTTTTCACCTCTATAGCTTACAAACAGCTATATGTTCATGACAACTGTACATTTTTATTTAACTTGCCCTTTATAAATCAGAGTTAAGAGAGTGGCTGCTTTGAGTGACAGGTGGGTGCTGTTACAGGCGGCTGGTTTCAGCAACCAGGCTTCATTCAGCTCCACCCTCAGCTCCGAGTCTCTGCCAATTTCTGGATTAGCTGGCAGAGTCAGGACCGCCAAGATGGGCGACCACTCAGAGCTTCACAAACGGCTCTTCAGAAACCTGTGGGTGACAGCATGGAGACTACGTCCATATTTCACACAGCCTATGGTCTGTCCTCAAAGAAATTCATGGTGTTCACACTCAGTTGTACCAACAAGTGGTGGGAGTATAGTTGTATCTGTAATAGCTCGAGACAGAGGTTCAAATCTTGCCTTCTTTATCACCTGGATAATCGTTGTGTGAGGTGGGATTGTTGGATTGTCTCCTTGGTAAGAATGAAAAATCCACCCTCTTTGTATTTATCTAAATAATTTGTCTCTTCTAGTAGCTGTATAGTTGATCAAGAGATCAGTGAACTGTTCAGTGCAACGTCTAACAGCACTTCCCATAATTCAGCAGAAGCTCAACAGAGTTAAAATCTCTGGTTCACTTTTTATCCAAAGAAAATCAGCCGCCAGTAGAGCCGCGTGTTGAGTTTTTGTACCGATACAAAACATTTTTTGAGGTCTTAGTTTGGGGACTGCAAACATGTGCTTAATGCATCAGTATTAAATGAAGATCTGAATGAAATATTCCTAATATATTAGGAAAATATCTAAATAAAGGATAAGGAAACAAATATATGACGGAGCATTATATGCCAGATTGTTCAATACCGATGCATCCCCATTTACATTCATATAAAGTACTTTTAACAACAGCTCTGTCTATGTACTCTTTTTGTCTACATGAAAAAGTTCAACTACATGCTTTCTGTCACTCTTTAGTTTCCAGTTAAAATAATAATAAAAATATAAACTACATAATTATAAAAAAGTTTTCATTGTAGACATTTTTGGCTCAGTCCTTCAGGGTTTAAAAAAAAATCTGAACTAGAAAACTTTCAACCTCTCTCGCCCCAAGAGCAATTAATACATTCAGCCCATCTGTATTGAACGCAATAAAAAGAGAAAAACTTGGCTAGATACCAGTTGATAATGTTCTGGTGCCTCCCTGACATTCATCTTCAGGCTGCACAAGTTACATAATGCCGTTTTCATTGCAGTCAACCAGCTGGATGTCAACATTAGTAACTGTAGCACAGCTGTATTTCTCTTGCCAGTCTTCAGTCGAGTAAATCAAACACTGAACATTTGGAGGTAATTCAACCTCACTGAATGATAATTCATCAAACTGCACTGAGCTTAAGTGGTTATTCAGATGAGTGGTTTCCTATAAAAGAGGGAGTTGTCTTCAGGCGGTGTAATTTAGATATGATCTATGTGTGCATTTAGGAAACTACAAGAAGGTCATGCTTTCTTTAAAACCGCTCGCACTTAAACACAACTATAGATTCTACTTTATGCTTCTCATTTTTTGCAATGTATCAAACAAAGAACCACACGACTTTACGAGCTGTCGTTCACACTTCTGTATGTACATCTCAATAAAGATTGTAGTCAATCGGAAAAACCTCAAACCTCTAAGATTTGATATTTGTCTCTGAAACAGTTTTTCCATCCTCGTTCTTGGCAGACAGACGTGCTACAGTGCCAGTATTTTGTACCTGCTTAATGAATGGCCTCTTTTACGAACGCACAATATTGTCTCAGCCACTCACCTGCTATGAATGTCCGCCTGAGGCTATTTAGACTGGACATTTTGGATCACGGTGACTTTAAAGATAATGTCTGAGTTTTAAAACAACAATCATTCAAACTAGCGTTCTCAATTGGTTTTTGTAAAGATCTCCGTACTCATTGACACCCCCGAGCGGCTAGAAAATGATTCAATCTCTTCTTCTTTGTTCTCTCTAGGATGGCAAATAAAATAAACTGTACACAGCTAACATGTGATTAGCAATTAGACAGACTAAATAGTCTTAGTGTCAGCTTGTTAAACCTTCCTTTTGTTTCCTCTTGTTGTCAACTATTCTGTGCTTTAACACAATAAAATTGACAGTTCTCATTTCATGTTCTGTCAGAACACTTAAAGGTCCAGTGCGTAGGATTCAGTGGGATCCAACAGTGAAGTTGCAGATTGAAACCCAGCCTTCAAAGTGTGTAGAAAATACTGTGGCTGCAAGACTTGTGGGAAAATCTAGAGCTAGTGTTTGTTTGTCCATTCTGGGCAACTGTAGAAAACATGGCGCTTCAACATGGCGGACTCCGCCACTCTTAGAGGACCCACTCTCTCTGTAGATAAAAACTGTTCATTCAAAGGTAACAAAAACACAACAATTGTTATTTTCATATTCCATTTACACACTGGACCTTTAATAGACAGGAAATAGTAATTTGATCTGAGGCCATAAATACTTAACCAGGGACTCAATCAAATCATCTATCACAATTTCTCTAAAAGTTATCTAATAAAACTAACACAAATACAGTTTAAAAAAAAGAAAACTCAATGCATGACTGGCTTTATTTACATGTATGTATGTAGAAGATTAGATGCAACAGAAACTTTAAGCACAGCCTCCAATCATGCTTACACTAGCCCAGTTTTCCTTATCTGCACTAAAAGCACGAGGCAGGAGTTGGAGATAATTTTCAGAAAGCTCAGTTCTTGGGTGCGAAAAACACCTGCTTAATATGGACACAGGAGCTAAAACTGAGGGAAAAAGATGGCTTTTTAAATTTAGCCAACTCAGTGTGGATCTTACACAATAAGAAAATATGTTCTTGCAATGATGGTAGAAGCTGTTTTGTGAAATGAAATTTGGAGACCTCAATCAGGCTGGAAAGGTGCTTATTTTGACTTTATCATCCACACACTGCTCTGTCCTGTGAGGTTGGTTCCTTTTTTTAGAGTTTGTAGTTTTTGTCAGAGGCTTTTGAGAAAGAAAACAGTACAACAGTTTCTGTTAGTGGTTTCCAAAAAACAGCGAGAGGCAGATACACTGCAATTAAGACGACCACCTCTTTACAGAACACTTACAGTGAATGCATTTCTAAATTTAAAAGGCTGCTTGTCTGTGCTGGTATGGATTTGATTGCATAACAGTAATGCTGCACGGTTAATGCCAGCTATTTGTTTTGTTTTATTTATGTTTTTTTTGCTTTGCGTTCATTAAAAATAATTGTGTTTTCTACCGTGCATACCACAGACTGGCACCTCCTCCGAGTCGCAGCTCCTCTCTGGGCCAACATAAGCCCTGCATACCAAGGAGGGACTACTTGTGTTTACCTCTCCTTACCGGCACAGACCGACGGCAGACTGAGGGTCCTCTCCTTTTTTTTTTTTCTTCTTTTTTCTCTTCTGTGGTTTCTGGCAGCCAGCGCCAGATTCCTCCATGTCTATCACTGCAATCAGCAGGCCAGACCCGCAGTCAGCCAAGCAGCTTGAAACAAAGCAGCATGAACGGCTGAACGTAAAGTAGGTGAAGCGTTTCTTTTTGGATACTGAGAGGAAGAATCTGTGCTTTCTCTCTCGGCTTTCCGCTCTTTTGTCATCGGAGGACAGTCCTCCTTCTCTTTCGTGATAAGCCAAAGTGCAGCATGCATCATTTCCTCCTCAGAAGAGCAAAACTCGTCCTACAGTGTGTTTTTAAGACCATGAAACCAACCGTGAAAAAGTCTGTATATTTTCTCCATGATAGTGTAGGTGCACTAGGTGTGTCCGACTAAACTTTCAGCACCTCAAATTATATCATTACCCCTCCTGGATGATTTCTTTCTTCTTTTGTTTCTTTTGCTTAACCATACTCCTAAAACCAAAGTACGTGCTGATATGCTAAGTGTCTTATTTAAATAGCAGAGGGTGTAAAGCATGCAGAAAATAAGGGTGTTGGTTAAAAATGCATGTAATGCAGAGACATGTTTACCGAGGAATGATAAATAGCATGATTTGGGCTGGCACCATCCAAGTGCTTTTCTTGGAGCACAGCTTTACCTTCAGTGATTATTTGGATTAGACTAAATCATACTAATACCCTTCAAGAAACAGCAGAGAAATATTAGACCTGCAGTAAAACCATGTGAAGGTTTTCTCTTTGAAAATGAAACAAACTTTTGACCTGTGACCTGTGTCGTATTTCTGCAATTTTTGTGAACAACCTTTGAAAATGTAAAAAGTTTAGTAGGCAGGTTTAATTACGGAGCACAATTTTTACACTGAAGCAAGAATAAGACTCTACGCTATCAGCTCTTTAATGCGTCATATACTGGCTTTAAAAACTAAATTGTGATTTGTGTTTTCACTTTATTACTCAATCAGATATTGTGGGTGTATCGGCAGTTTTCTGTTGCTTCTGGTTATGTTAGCCTAAAAAATCTGTAATGCAACAGACGTATCTGTCCCGTCTACGCCATTTTCAGCCAACAAGTTGCTGTTGCTGGGGGTCGACGGCGATCCATCCATCCATCCATTTGTGGTCATTTCTGTTATGATTTCACTGGTGCTGGCACTGGAAGATGACGTCCTCATTCTTAATCCTGCCCAACTGGCTCAGTTGTTCTATCCATTAGAAATAACATGAAGGAGAAAAAAAAAAGAAAATAAAAAGTGTTTTACATGCTGCTGTAGTGGTAGTCAGCTGTACCTTACAGACGGTCCCTTTATGCTGGATTGTGCTTGTCAATTTTCTTTATTCTTCAGGCTCAACACCGACTTATTCTCCTCGGTCAGGGGTCAACAACCTTTACTATGAAAAGCTAGAAGAAAAAAAAAAAAAAACTGTCTAGAGCTGCAAAATATATTTAACCTCATAATGCTCATTTCTCACTACAAATCAAATATGCGGGTTGGGGGCGACCTGGTAGCTCACCTGGTAGACCTGGCGCCCCAAGTATGACTCAATCTATGGCCCTTTGCTGCATGTCATCCCCTCCCTCTCACCCTCTTTTTCACTAGACGGCAATAAAAGCCCAAAACAATATTAAACACGCTGCTAAGCCAGCAGCGTTGGTGGCGAAAGCTACCATATCATTCTCTATTTTCCTCAGAGACTTTATTTTATTTGCATTTGGAATCCATAGCGAGCCTAGCTAGGGAGACTAGTAGCCACCGCTATTGAGGTTGGGCAGAATAAAGAGGAAATGGTGCCAGTTCAGGACATATTGTATGATGCACGTTTTAGCAATTTTTCTATTTGGTATGTAATGGCTACATATTTACACAATTAGAGAATGTAAGAATAACTTTAACTTTTCAGAGCCACAGGGAGACCCTGGAGTGGAGTTAAGAGGGTTGCCAACCTATCCTTGGCTCATAATAAAAAAAAGTGATTTAAAAAATAGAAATAAAAAAATAATTTCAAACTGCAAACCTACACCTAACTTTCTTTAATTGTCTCATTCAGCCTCAGGTGGCACTTCAAGCCTCTGGTTTGTTGCTTGCTGCATTTTTACACCATCATTATCAAATTAACCAAGAATGACAATGTGCAACAGACACCAAGGACGAGAAATTGTTTCATGTGCAGATAACAATCTCTGCGTCTCCTCTGCTATTTGGGCTCCTTGAACTCGGCACTTTCTATTAAGCAGTGAAACGGTTTTAAGAGAAATGTTTGTTATTTCACACCAAGCGCACGGAGCCAGCAGTAAACCCGTCTGTGAACTTAAGTGCTCTTCTATAAACTTCTCAACAGTGTATTCCCTAGTAAAAAAAAAAACTGCTGTGTTGGTCAGAGATGGATAGGGAGCATTTTGGGACCAATAAACCCAAAATACACAAATACCTCAAATGAGATGTCTCATTGTAGCCTCCAGACTGATTTACTGATTCCCGGAATCAAAGGCCGCTCACCCTCATACCGTCGCGTTTCACAAACAAAGTGGGAGTCGGGGGGGAGGACACACAATGGCTGGGACAATATTACTGTTATTATCATTCCGCTGTTGTTCGCACCGCACTATCAACTCACTGGTAATAGATATAATTCATGTGCTGCTGCAAGAAATCCCTTTTTAACTTGGCTTCTGAAAAACCCATCATGCAGAACCAAAAAGTGAAAAAAAGAAATTCAACTCGAGGCTGAATATTTGTGCTTTTAACCTGTTGGAAGACCGCAGAGCTCATTTTGTGGCTTCTAAAAAATATAAGAAAAATGAAAGATGAAGCTCTGACCTGATCTCTCCGTACAACGGCGGTAATGAGCACTAATGACTGCTCATCCTCTCCCTGCTCTCCAGTAATGCACTTAGATATGATTGAATCCTGCTCTTCGTCGGCTCTTTCTCAGACACACGCCTGCAGAAGTACCCCATTACAAACCCAGTTAACTGCAGTAATCTGGGGCCGTGGCGGGAGCACATCTTGCAGTGTCATTAATGCCACTGCTCATTACGGCTTCGCCCTTGAATCCACACACGCCGGCAGGAATCGAAAGTGTTTCACGGCTGAAGCCATGGTAACAGGAATCCTGCCTCTTTTTACTTTTTCCTGGGGAAAAAATGCATCTTAATTGACCGTATCGCACACTCCCGTTTGCCGTTAGTGTCAGCTGCAGAGCAGAATCATATCTCCACTTATTTTTTTTATTTATCTGGCCTGATTTCACGTTGGCTCTGCAGTGTAGCGCAACCGTCTGCATCCACAAACAGAACTGAGTTAACAAAATGAGACTTGTGTACATAAATTATTCAACCTACCTCAATTTAATCTGGTTATTTTGTCAGCATGTTTTTGGAGTCAGGCGATAGGCCGAGGTCCAGGCTCTAAGGGTTTCCTGAGCTTGGCACGTACCGGCTCTGCCGCCGTTAACTTTGTGTTTGTAATTAGTTTAATTCTACAGTTATTAAGCCGTCTCACAAATACCGAAAGGAATTCGAGCTGCAGACTGGATTCTCACAGAGCTTGTCTGGATGAGTCTGGTGCCACGGTTCTTACGTGGGATGATTCCACATGTTGTAGTTTGTTTAACTGTCAGTGGCACATGCACGCTTCAAAATAAGGATATGTACACAATCGCCAGAAGGCTGAACTGTACAAATATTGTGAGAAGGAAAATGCTCGACCTTGGAATACCAGTCTTCACAAGAATCACGGGATGAGTCGATCTGAACTCTGAGCTTGTTTAAAGAAATTTTAAATAGACTTTGGATAGAGAGGCCCCCCTTTTTTTTTTTTTTTTTGAAGTATAATAACATCAGCCCCTTCCATGTTCACTGTTATGCATTTTATCATAGATGAAAACCAGCCCCTTTATCTCCACATGCATGTTTCTTCACTCTGTTAATTCAGAGTTACTGATACCTTTCTGGCTCTCAGACTGGAATATAATTATCATGTTATCCCTGGCCTTCTTGGATAAGACAGATGCCAATGCGATGCCCGTGTTTTGGTATAGATAACAAATATTAGTGATTTCAATACTTTACCTTGAGAAATATGTTTTTTTCTGTTCAAAAGATGCCAAGGCTCTTGTCAAATGTTAAATGTCTGAACACAAACAGCCATACAACAACTTTGCCTGAATAAAATCAGCCTAAAACTGGCAGAGGTTTGACTTCTCTGATCACAGAACAATATGAGTCTACCAGACATATTTTGGTCCGTACCAAAAAAGTACAGAGGTTCCGTAAACAGTCTTGATTTTAAAATGATTGTGAAATCTGATCAGACTTTAAACATGAAGATAATTTCCTTTCATCAACTGAGATTATATGAAGGTTTGAGCAAACAAAACTCTCTCCCTGGTTAAAACAAACCTGCATCTAATGATTATTTTCATTATTATTTTTTTGACAAACCAGTTCATCCCATAATCCCCGTACATTTACAGAGCCCAGTGTGACATCTTTAATTTGCCTGTTTTTGTTTGACCGACTGTCCAAAGCTCCACAGTTTTCAGTATATAACGATATAACATTGAGAGAAAAGCAGCAATCAATCAATGAATTGTTTCAACAGTAAAGGGAGACATATTTCATAAATGAGACCATGTGTCTTCTCAAAATCCTTGATCACGATCTGTCAACAATCTGAATGAGAGTTCATTCAATTATATTTCCCAAAAAACAGAGTCAGGAAAGAAGGATCAAACGCAGCATAATGATTAATTTAATGTAGAGTCGTGTTCTTTCTGTTCCATTTCCTTTTGTTACTCTAATTTCCCTTTTCCGCCTGGATTACTGTAACGAGCTGTAACGTTTATTTTAAACTAGCACTGATGTGACAGATAAGCTCATCTTTGAAGTGACAGGCGGTTCATCATTTCCTCGAAGAATATACGGCACCGATTACACGCGTTACCGTATAATCTGAACTCTTTAAGTGGTTTACCTGCCGCCTGCTCCGTGCGCTGGTCTGGATTTGAAGTGGATTGAGAGGAGCAGCTTTGCCCTTTGTAGTCCCCAGAGAGGCCGGGGTTGACAGGGCTTTGTTTAGTCTAACCCACAGTGTGCTTCTTCTGCTCCTTAAGCCTTTGGAGACGCCAATCTCAGAGTGTCTGAATGACCGGCAGCACATCATTCACTGTCAGCTCAGCCCAGAGTCTACTGCCGTACCTCAGCTTCTCGACCAGCGCCACTGTCCAGTCCACTGCCATCGATAGACATCAGTCAGGAATGTCACCGGGTCAGATCTGAGGCATTTGGCAGACATCAGTTTATGTTACACCTTCAGAAATTACTGAACTTTTTCCTGATTAACATTTTTTTGTTGATCAGTGGGCAATTCAACTATTAAGTCTAACTATTAAGAAGTTCTATTTAAGCAGCACAAGTGAAGTTCTGACTCTGAAGGCTAGAGCCTGGTCCAGTCTGCAACTTCTACTGTGTGATGTAAACACTGAGAACAGACTTTACAGGGAAGTAGAAGACATCTTGTGTACAGCAGGAAAACTTCAGTAAAGACATTTGCATATTCATAGATTATCAATTTATTAATCAGGTAGATGGAGTAGATGACCCCCCCAAACATAGCAGACAAACGTTATTGTTCCAAGCAGACTATTTGTATATATGTCTTAATGCATGTCTTGAGCTTCAATAAAAGACTAAAAATCAATTTTTACTAGATATGTATTTATATTTGGCTTAATGATTGCCTGAATGTTAAAGTCTGCCAGTAAGTGCTGACTTTCATCGCCATGTTTAGGAAGGAGAGCACAGTACAGAAAGAGACTCCCCGCCAAGCAGAATCAGAAAGACAATAAAAACAACCCGACCACAGACTCCTCAGCTTTCACCGTCAACACTTCCCTGTCTGTCCTCACCAGTTCGGCCTGTTTGTTGCTCCTGTGAAATGGGTTACAATATTAAATACATCAGTTGTGCAGAAGAAGCCACGCTGTCTGTCAAGCTGTGACTGTCGTAACTCGGCCTCCGTCTCTGGGTTTCTCCTGCAAACTCTGCAGAGGCCAGAAGATTGAGTGCCATTGTTATTTTTAAAAACTCCAAAGGGAAAAGAATGGAAGTTTGCACAAAGCCTCAAATATATTACCTTTTTTTTTCAAACCTTTTGCCCCATCGGGCCACCATCAGCGCTCGGAAAACTGCTCAAATGATTCCTAACGTGATCTAAAAGCCCCTTTTCTTAGATTTCATGCACGATTAACTGATGTCTGGCTTCTTTTTCATTTTTCTTTTCTGTTTAAGAGGTTTTTGAGTTACATGCTTTGCCTTAATCGACACAATATTATTTTTAAAATGATTTACATAAACGGCACGAGTTCTCTCTGAGGGATCTGGGTGGTCTGAGTTGGTCTTCTTTCTTTGTGGGAGCTTCTCGGTTGACTGTCTCCGGACCACTCAGGTAATTTGAGTGACTCCTAATTAATTGTTACAGCATGGCAAATAGCAGTCCCCCCCCCTCCTAGTCTTTACTTCAGCTGGCGTCGGACTGACGTTTAAAGAAGAAAATTGTAACTGTGAGTCAGTCTCAGGGTCGGGTACCAGGCCTCTGTCTCTGAGCCATTATTTTCATACTTCAGTGTCTGGGAAACCGAATTGGAGCAATAAATGTTCATAGACGGTATGATGGATTTTCACGGCACAGTTAAGAATCGGCCGGAGCAGCTGGACAGAGCGGAGTGACGTCGGGCTGAATGTAAAAACAGATGGAGCTGATGATGGTGGATGGATGTCATATTTATCATAAAGACGCATCATGGTTCCAGCCAATTTAAACGCTCCAGTTTCGCCATCCGGTTATACTGACTGACCAGAGAACATTAAACTTACATCAGGCTATTGTGATGTGAATTTCTGGAGGAATTTAGTCCAAAGTTTAGTCCAATTTTGACCAAAAGACATTATTCCTGGTAGACAGCTAAATTAGACTTCATTTGTTTGGTCATCTCAGCATTTTCTCTTATGACACCATAAAAAAGCTGCTATAATCCAATGCAATATCACTGCGTATACACAATAACCTGAATGATTAGTCATGCCAGCCCATAAATAATGCATTCACCGAAACCTCCACAGGAATGTTGTACTTTACTGGTCTTTCGTTCTTTATTTTGTCTGGAAAAAGTATTTTATTCATAGCAATTTCCCAGTTATGACACCATAAAATAGTTGGTATAATCAGATGAAATATCACTACACATACACAGTGTCATAAATAATCATGCAATTATACATTTACTGACAAGCTTTTGAATGAATAATATGCACTTTTACCTTCCCCTTTCCAAAGATAGTTTACAGAGAGGTCCAGGAGTACGTAGAGGTTTGCACTGATTGAATAAAAAATATTGAAGTTGAATCAGTTAAATGCCTGACGAGGTGTCCATTATCAGGAATTAATGGACGCCATGGAGGCCAGAACCGTCCGACGTGCAGCATTATCCCGCTAATAACATGGTCGTTTGCCAAATATAAATTATCATTATTTTATATTTTCCTGCATTTTTTTCTATCAAAATCTAACGTTTTTTTTACAAGCCATAACTCTGTTTCCCCGGTAACACCTGAGGTCCTTCCTAATACCTGGAAGAATCATTACCATCCCATAAGGTTCTAATGCAATGGAAATGTTCACTACTCCAGTAAATAGGACGAACCATACGACTTGGCAACAGAAGATGTTTCTAGTTCCCTCCATGACAGTTTCACTGGAAGTACTTAGTAGGTGTCCTACATCAGTAATCAATGAGAATCACCCAGACCATGGGTGATTCCAACAATCATATGGGGGCGGCCATGGCTCACACACTACCCCACCCCATGGTGTGCCACCCCAAGATATTCAGTGGCCCCATCAGACCACCCCCGTGGCACCACTGGAGCAGATACAATATCATTAAATATCGCCAATATGACCATATAAACTGTACTAACTATACAATTACAAAGATAAAGGGTTTTACCTGTATCCTATCCTTCAGTATATCATCTGTTATTCCAGTCATTCACAGAAACTTTTTAACTTGGATAGCACGTTCTTTTTCCATCTAAAATGTTTTTTGTATTACATGTACAATTTTTTTGCAGGAAAAGCCCTCAGCAGATGTTACATAATTTAACCCTTTCAAAGACAGTGAGGAATGTATTAGAGGTAAAAGTTCTTCTATTGATTTAGATGATCTCAAATTAGTTAGAAGGGTACAATAACAACTTGTAGATGCTTATATTTGTTTCCAAATTTTTTTTTAATAAATTTAAGCATGGTTTTAAACTGAGACGTTGCCCTCGCCTTTGCCTTCATATGGGCATTTAAGCACAGCTTCTGTTGTTCTTTAATAAAGCACCAGCTCCAGTCACAGAGTCGGCAGGGATCGACCATCCCGGTTGCTGAGACGAGTTAAAGATCTTAAGCTGGGTGTCTCTGCTCCGCACCCAGTGGGCTTAAACATATATCACACTGGCAGTAGGCTGTTTGCTTTCAACCCCCTCCTCCATCCCTCCCTCCCTGCCCTCGGCTGGGCAGGCCACTGATCCCCTCTTCGCTTCTATCTCACAGTGAATCCCTTCTAGTCAGAGGCACAACGTTGAGTTTTCACAGTCAAACAGCACCCATGCTGGCCGAGAATTTCTTTGATCCCTGAAGAGCTCGTATCTGACGGAGCTACTGAAGAACCTCCCTCTGTCAGGTTAATGACGTGTACTTAACCTAATACTAACAAAAATGAAAGGAATAATCAATAGTTTGAACAGGCAAATATCTGTTTTCCTACTACAATGGCACTCAATAGCCATCTGATGAGCATCCAGTTCATTAAAGTTTTTATTGTAGTTGTAAATACCAGGTGTCAGGTAGGTGTTCCTGGGGAAAAATACAATGAACTGAGCGGTGTAAAAGAGCACCACCCACAGCAATTAACAAGTAATCTCAAGAAAGTGAAAATAAACAACTTAAAACCAAGTTGGAAACTGAATTTTACTAAATGTCGCTTCTAAATCAAAGTGGAGTAACACTTTACTTTAAAGCAGCGGTTCCCAAGGGACCCCTTCTCAATCGTTAGTAAACTGATGACCCCTGACTGATATATTTGATTGATATTTCATATGATATTCAATGCATAACAACAGTACAGAACAAAGGATAAACTGAACAATGAACCCAAATACTGAGCAATATATAACTCAATAACTGATTCTTTCCTGAGTATTGCATCAGAGATGAGTTTTCCTGATCATTTTAGGGAACTTTTAATATAATTGTCAGTATAATGTATTTTTAGAAGATCTTAACTATCAAACATACTCAATAGGCTTCTTTTTGTTGACCAATTCAGTGTTTGAAATTCGAGAGCTAAACAAGATATAGGCGTATACTTTTTACGTTTTCTTACACCTCCTAAAATCAAGAAGGCCTTGCAACCCCCTGTGAAGCTTTGGCGACCCCTAGTGGGGGTCCTGACCCCCAGGTGGGGAACTGCTGCTTTAAAGCTGCAGTAGGTAACTTTTTTGAAAATAACTTTTTGCTGAAACTTTCTCTACATCCTGAAAGTAGTACATGACGCAGATAATCTGTGAAGAAATCAGATTTCTCTGGCTCTTCCTCGACAATCAACTGTCTTTCTTGGCTCTGATTGGTTGTTTTTGTCCGGACCCAGTGGATTCTTGCAAATGTCATTTGGAGGACTAGGAAAAGCCAAAGGAACCTGATTTTTCCACAGATTATTACTCTCATTTACTACTGTCAGATTATGGAGAAAGTTTCAGCAAATGAGGCAAAAAGTTGTTTCCATAAAAGTTACCTACTGCAGCTTTAAGTCCCAATATGAAGAATTTATGCAGTATAATCATTTCCGATTCTTTCTGTTCCTGCTTTGTGGTTCACACTAATTCATTTGCCAAAAAAGAGACAAAACACACAATCAATACAATAAAAGATGTATTTGACTGATAGCTTATATTTTCTTCAACCTTTCTATTGATATTGCAACAATATCTTTATCATAACAATCCTATAGATACATACATTTAATAAATGGTTTATAACTTTTTAATAATAATTTTATATTATTCCAACAGCATTTTACTATATTGTCATTCATTATCTGCAGCCTTCACCTACCCACAGGAGTTAAAGTTTTTGATAAATACATTAACAGACACTGCTTACAACTGCATTATAATGGGTTATTAACCAATTTATAAAATGTTTATATACTGCTTTAAAAGTAAATGCTAAATAAGGAGACTTAAAG